GATCTTCCCTAATAGAATCAGAGAGAATATTAAAATGTGCATGTTTCAATGACTAACCTCTGTATAAGAGATATACTCAGCAGGAACTCCACTTAACTCTGACAGCTGTAAAAACAAAATGATACAAGTAATAATAACACATACTCTCTCAAAGTCAAAGTACAGTACGTGTGCATATTCTCAATGTTATACTGTATAGCATAAAATTTTCGAGGGTTGTAAATTTTGCGGATTTTGCAACTTTTTTGAAGATTCACAAAAATTACTTTTGCAAAATCAAATTATTAGGGTACAAGACAGCAGATGGTATAAATTCGGAAAAATTAAATCCGCAAATAGATTTTTAGGCAAATTTGCAAAATTTTACAGCCCTCATAAATTTTGTGCTATATGGTATGTTTATAATTATTGTTTAACTGGAAATTTGGGTTTTAATTTTTGGCGGATGCACATATGTGTAATTGTACAAATAATAAGTTTTACTTTGGTGGAGATTAACTATAAAATCATCAAATCCCCAAAATTAACATCAACTATGGCAGGCCAGTAAACATAAGGGGGGTGACCTTTGCCCCTACAACTGATCTTGACCTTAGGATCAAAGGGCTTCACTGTACAAGCTACAAGAAAAATTATAAAACTAATTTTTAAAAATTCTAAATTTCCTAAATTTTTGCATGCAGTTGTATTATGGAATAATCACTATCAGTCTGGCATTATAACATTATTTAAAGATTATTTCTGTAATAACTTTATTGGTAGAGGAAATGAGCTACCCCTTAAACACACCACCAGCACCAGCAATACAATAAATTATAAATTTTAATTTAATCAAGTATGTATACCTTTCCAATAACATGCTCAGAATCATTATATTTGTCCAGTATAATTTCTTCTGTTGGATCAACTGAACATTGTGATGGACGCCATCTTATAACATACACCTGTGTCTGGGCATCATACTTCTTCTCTGGTCCTAATGAAAATCAACATACTAACATTAAACGTACTATAAATACATTATTTATTTAAACTGAAAATACTGAAATATACTGACCTTTTAATGGTTCCACGTATACATGTATTTCCCTATTAGTATCATCAACGCTACTTGTAGTACCACCAATCCAAGCCTCATTAACATCATCAATATCACCAATCCAGTCATGATCAAGATATAGCATACCAGGGTACACTTCATTCTTTTCCCATAATCTCATTCTACACAATAAGTCACATGATAGTCACATGATAGTCACATGATGTACTTACTTGTCTAATTCAAGGACACAGTCAATTCCTTGTACTTTTGCTTCTTCAATAATTTGTTTCTTAAATTCTCCCACTGGTGTACCCTTAGCATAAACAGTATCCATCATAAACTTACAAAACTAAAAATAAATGAAATTATTACAAGAATGTGAAACTATTATTATTATTATTATTATTAACAGGCTCTACCCCTTGCCACGCCCAGATGTATGAGTATAGACAAACAAACAAAACTACTGTATAGCGGGAAAATTTTCATAGCCCAAAATTTCGTGGATTTTGCATTTTTTCAAAATTCACGAAAATAAAATCTGCGAAAATCAATTTAATACAATTTAAGATGGCCAAAAAGTAGAAAACTACAAATATTAAAGCCACAAAATTAATTTCTAAATGGATCCACAAAAAATTCTCACTATACGGTACTTTACCATGCAGTAAGGAGTTTGCCCATTAATATTAATTCTTACCTCTGTGTTGTTAACTTGTAATAAATATAATTTAATTCTTTTCTCTCCTCTTCCTAATCCTCTACCCAGTCTTACTATCAACTAGTAGATACACAAAGTAATAAAGAGATGAGTGTGTGTGTGTTATTAGTACTTATAGTAGTGTATAATGGAAAGGAGAACTGAATCAAATAACACAATAAACTATATGTATGTACATGTACCTTTGATCCATCCTTAAATGTCTCATCCAGTTCTTCCATTTCATATTCTTCATGATCACTGCTGGGTAGACTTCCAAATTTGGTTTTATAGCCATACACTATAAAACCAGTAGGCCGTACACCAATCAGTGGAACTAGTGCCTCCTTTAATTGAGCT